AAGGAAATTATTAAAGTAGGCGTTTCGTTTGTTGGTTAAACATTGGACACAACATTCCATGTTATTGATATTTGTGGTTTTAGTTTTATTATTTTTGAAAGTTAAATTATTATTGTCTAACTAGGCTTTGGTAATAATTTGTACTTTGTACACACATATTACATACATACTTATAAATATGACCTAACTCTTTCTTTCGTTTACTTTGGCAACGTGTCTTTGAAAGGTCAGATGGTTGGGTTCACATGACACGAACTGAATGATTGAACGAATTCAATGAATATTCAATAAATAAGGAAGTGCCTATACTGTTGAGTACTTGTATAGTTGAAGTATGATGGGGTTTAATTTCCGTTTCAATATTTTTTGTGTACGAGTTTATTATACAAAAACACAAACATATATTTATACATATTTTTATTTAATAATAGTTTTAGGTAAATTTTATATAATATTTAATTCAAATAGATATCGTATATTTAAAGGTGCTTTTACACCATTTTAGTTTTAGAGGTAAAAATGTTAGTCCCTAAAATCTTGTTTATGTTAGAGATCAATATTTCGCTGTATTACGTACGAAATAACAAAAAATATTATAAAACAACGAAACTGGTATGACTTAAGCCCTTTTACATTATACCACAAGTAATATGATCTGTCAAAAGAGAGCAGATGGGATAGTCTAAACGCAATATGTAGTGAAACCATCAAACGTTGAGAGAAAATACGAATGAAAAATTTGACAGTCGTATGGTTCTGTTTACTTTTTGTTATTACTCAAAAAACAAGCAAGTCGCATTAGATCAGGGATGTATTTTTATGTAAACACATACAAAAAACGAAACAGCTGTTTTCATTCTTCTTTGTTATTGTCTAATACCAATAGTGTAAAAGCAAAAAATAAAAATCATACGATTTTATAGGAATGGAATTTCATTTGATTTTTCATACGTAAAGTCTCATAGTCAAAAGGCACTTTTAGGCATTTCAATTCCGATAATTTAGGGTTTCAGCTGTTGTCTTTGGCTAACCAACAATCATATTTGTGTTGTGTATTAAATCGATTAATGAACATTTTGAGATCAAAAGGGTTTTTTAGAACTTAGGATACAATATTTTACTGGACTAACCAGTCTTACGCTCCCAAAAAGTTGATCACATGTTCTTCGATTAACTATGGATTTGTTTTTTAGCTGGATGAGTAACTAAGACCCAGCAGTTCGACAAAGGGTCAATGAAGCTGACAGTCATTTATACAAACCACCTGATTGGCTCTAATTCGACTTCACGAATGCACGCTTTGTAAACGAGAGTGAAAACAGTGACCAATTGAATGTCCCTATTGTAAATGAGAGTTGAGAAAGTAGTCACCTAACTGTCTCCAAGAAATTTAGAGAGAAGACTCTTAAAAAACCTTAAGCGAAAAGGTTTATTGTCATGTATTGATTTCCTATAAGAACAAGCACCTGTTGAAATAGTTAGACCCCTGAGTAGTTTGTGGCTAGGGGTACCTAAATAGGAAGTTAAATAGCTACTAAAGGCCCAAATAGACTACACAAGCGGCTTATCAAACATACTTTTTTCATTCGAACACACACTACACAAACATTGCTCCTACAAACACCGATTTTTTCACGTTTTTGTGGACTTGCAAAGATACAGATGTCAATTTTTCTTAGAAATGGAAATTTTGTGAAAATTTTGTTGTTAATGAATATAAGCAATACAAACGGTTTGACAAAAATTCAATATGTTTGTGTAAAAATCAAATTTTTTTAATTTTTGTACAAACGAACCGCAAGCATTTGTACAAACACGAAACACCCTCATACACTACACAACAGGCTTGTAAAATATTGGTATGTTTGTCAAGCCGCTTGTGTAGTCTATTTGGGCCTTAAGGTTTAGGTTTTCATCAATTTTGATTCTTCAACCTTATGTAATTCTTCGGGATCTGGTAACAATTCTTGAGAATGGACATTTTGTTTGAACCAAATCATGTATGGAACCATGTTTGTTATAAATAACCTCAAATATACATGTCTATGCTCATACATTTTCAATTTCATACATTTTCAATTTCAACATAAAATTAGTTTTTAAAAAAATTCCTTCAAATCTCTTCCGGCGAACTTCCATTTGTATAGATTTCTAGCAGACAAATGCACCATACAACAATATGGGCATTACTACCATTTCGAAGACCCATTGGGTATTCTTAGGGTTTATACTACAGGATTATCCTATTGCTCTTCTCCACGAGCATAGGGCCGCAGCCGCATTGTTCACTCTGGATTGAGTGTTCAAATGTCATTATAGGTACAAAGGTGATTCAAATATTTCCAAGTAATGGATACAGGACTCCTCCTTGTAGAGTGCCGTGGTTTGCCACTTTCGGGGCATTTGTTGCAGTAGCTTGAATAGGCTGGTTTATACCCAAATCATTTAGAGCCGAATTCGGCTTGGGGTGTACGTTGCTGAAAGCTTCCTACTCCGCTGCTCTAAAGTTTTTTCAGATATAGGTTTGATATTCATTTTTTGTTGTATATCAATCATACTTTCCAACGTTTTGAAAAGAAAGAAGGACAGACTGATCTGTCGTGTGATCGGACTTTGCACTTGGTCCAAGTTTCGGTTATATACGACCATTTGAGACAGGCGATATATACACTTATTATCCAAGGCATTAAATGTACACCATTGTATTGCAAATTCGCAGGTATAATATCATCAAGACCGGGTGATTTCAAGAGGTCAAAACTCTTAATCGCCCAGTTAATCCTATCTTCGTTTATAGATAGATTGGTATCAATTCCTTTTTTAAGGAGATTGCCAGCCTTGAAAGTCCGTACTCATTACAAACTGCCACACGGTCTCTGAATGCAACTCGGGACGGAGGAGTTGACTATAAGATCTTGCGAAGTCGACTGGACTCGGAGGATCCGTCTACGCCGCTACATAAATCTCTCCAAGATTTAAAAATTGCATTATCTATCAGCTTTTTAAATCTATTTACAGAGATCTTGTAAGACATCAAGTTTTCCGTTTTCTTTGCCTCATTACATAGCTTTTGCTACAATCTACAAGATTTCACAATGTCTGCGGACCAACATGGAGGTTTGTTTCAGCATTTTGTTTACATGACAGTGAAGTCGTGTGTTCAAAAGCATGATGTTAAAGCAATATATTGATGGTCAGGGAATGACCAGTCGTTTAATTCATGCCATCCCTTGATCCTATTATGACGCATAGAACGAACTTGTGTAATGTACAAAACTTCCCTTCTGTTTGAATCAATAAAGGTCGGTTCGGATCCTGATTTTAAAATATCAAGATTATTGCTTAAGGCCCAAATAGACTACACAAGCGGCTTATCAAACATACTTCTTGCATTCGCACACACACTACACAAACATTGCTCGTACAAACACCGATTTTTCACGTTTTTGTGGACTTTCAAAGATACAGATCTCAATTTTTCTTAGAAATGTAAATTTTATGAAAAATTTGTTATTGATGAATATAAACCATAACAAAAATTCAACATGTTTGTGTAAAAATCAAAATTTTTAAATTTTTGTAAAAACAAACAGCAACCATTTGTACAAACACGAAACACCCTCATACACTACACAACAGGCTTGCACAAACGTAAAATATTGGTATGTTTGTCAAGCCGTTTGTGTAGTCTATTTGGGCCTTTAGAATGAAGTTGGAAATTGACTCACATCTAGAATTTATGTCCGAGCTTCCTTAGACAGTGTGGTGGCCATTTGCATCAGCCTCCATGATGATCGCCATCTCAATGGATCAGCAGACCAAGTTGTTCGATGTTAAGACTTCTTCTAGGTACTATACAAGGCGACTAAGGTACTAAGGTAAGGCGGTCTCCTCCCCACCAACGCCCATACGGAGGAGCAGGACAGTCGAATCTGCTTTGGAGTTGAGAGATTAGTTTGAGTTACCAGCTGGTGTTGGTGCCAATGTACAACACTGTCACATTGGCGTCCTCCTTGTCTGAGGCAAGGAAATCGACCTTATCCACTGACACACCCGCTCTGTCAAAGAAAGCCTTAACCAACCAAGAGGTTGAATGAGTGTCCCTTTGGCTGAGTGAAAAATTAGTCTCGTATAATAACATCTCGTATACATATGTATGAATATATGTAGTTATTTCTAAGTTATTACTAGACTATAAGTAATATAAGGATAAGGATATACATATAAACATTGGGAACCTCTGGTATTAAACAACACAGCAACTAATTTGAGGTTTTATATTTTTAATGTAATGATCCATTAGAAATGTTGAAAACACAATTTACTGAAAAATAGGTATATTATTTTTTGCGTTTAAGTTTTCTTTTTTTACTTGATTCCTTATAAATTGGTCACTTAAAGCAGTCCAATTGTGCTTGATTATTAATGAGCGGGCGTGGTAATTTTCTTGTCTGCTTATAATTCGGACAATTTCATCATTATAAAACGAATCAAGCTGAACGCAATTAAGGCGAACAAAACACAAACAAACAAAAACATTAGAAAAAAAAATAAAAAAAAATAAATATCTACATATTTATACATGATTAACTAAACATAATTAGCCACAGGAAGGCGCATTTAATACATACAAACAAAAACAACTCAATGACAACAAACCCCAAATGTTATTGTTGTTTTTCCTTAAGAGTACCACAAACAAACAACTGCACTTGTTTATATCAACAACAACAATTTGTTATTTGAATTCTCATTGGCATGCGCCATATTGAATTTGTATACAAAACCAAGGAGGAGCCAAGAGCAAGTGAGCAAGCGGTGTTGCTATTCGTTGTACTCAAATATTGGAATGGTGGTTGTTTACGAAACATTCTCAAAGTGGGAAGTATGAACGCTTGTGTTGTTTATTTACGATTAGATGAATGAGTGAATGAAAGCTGAAGGTGGCAGACAGAAGGAAAAAAGACAGTGTGAGTTTGTCAAAGAACAACAACAGCGCAGTTAGTAGTAAGTACGTGATGTTTCCAAGCACCGGTTGTGCGTACAACGACAACATTCAGTACGTCAAAGACCTTTAAACGGTTCACTGCTTCGTGTAGAGTACGTGTGTAATTAACAAAAGTTTTAATAAATTTTATTTACATTTATTGATAAAAAATTAGTCAAATACAAGAGAAATGTTATAAAAAAAAACATACTAGATTATGCGGTAGTGAAAACCATCTAAGAAAAATAAAGTTTAAAAGAGTATAATTTTGTTTTGGAAAAGTGAATTAAAATAAGATTGTAATTATGAATAAAATGGATAATACTAGCGATAATATGGATACCATAACGCCAACAAAACTTACCAAATTTCCCACACCATTTACCATAGAAAGTTTAATAGCCAATCATCATCACCACCAACAAGCCCCCACAAACTCTTCAGAGGATTCAATGACTTCGGTGGAGGTAACGGAAGAATTAAGTGCCCGCGCTATGGTGGCTTCATCGGCTTTAGGTTTAACCAATTTTCCTCTCTATAACCCCTGGCTACATGGTTATTTTGCCCAAAATCATGATCGAATTACACAACTTTTTGCCAATGGCGGTGAATACAATATGCCACTTAACCTGTTAACGAAGGAACCAGCCAGTGCCAATGAGAGTTTAGGAAATACTAATTTACCAAATTCGCAAACTTTAAATCTCTCTAAATCCTCTAGTGATACAGAAAATCGTTTACCGTCATCACGTTTATTATTTAATCCCAGTTTCGGTTTAAATATTGCCGCCGCCTCAAATAATATCAACAATACTAATTCACCACCTATGACCCTCAACGAAGCTCTGCTCCATCAATCCGCCCTCGCCGCCAACGATTTAAATTCACGCCAACGTCTTGCTGAAATAATGGCTGCCAGCGGCTTAAGTGATAATGTACAAAATCTCAGCATGGCTAATCGTTTTGCCCAGAATATGGGTAAAGTTTTAACAGATGCCGCCGCCTTAACGTCTAATACCGTGCCACCCACTTTATTTAACCATCATATAATGTCGAATTCGCGACAAGAATCTTTGTCGAATAGTGCCAGTGTAAAGAATCACTCGGAGGCATCTTTGGATGTTGGTGGCATGGATGAGGATTATGATTGTAGCGGTGATTCTTGCAGTGATATAAGTTTGACAATGTCGCCACAGAATTATAGGACTGAAATGGATAAAAATCGAGGTAAGATTTTCAGAAGTAACGTAACGTTGAAATATCAACCACTTTTTGTTAATATGTACTTCTTAGTCGTTTAACCGGTAGAAATAATTTTTGTAGAAAAACTGTCAATTGAACCTTGGATAATTTTGAATACATACGACCGGTTTATATTAGGGATGCCAAACGGGACTGGCTTTTACAAATCCCGGGATTCGGGATTTTGAAAATTGCAATCCCGGGATCCCGGGATATTTCGGGATCCCGGGATTTTTCGGGATCCCGGGATTTTTCGGTATTTCGGGATTTTACGGGATTTCGGGATTACATGAATTTAATTATTTTATATATGAAAATCTTTAAATCATCATATTTGTAAAGAAAATTGTTTAATTTTGTGGAAATTTAACAGACAGAAGATATATTTAAATTAAAACAATCCAATTAATTCCAATTTTTAAATAAAAACTTTCAGAATTGAATAATTTCTGAAACTTTTTAAATACATACTTACTTCCTAAATAAAAATAAATATCAAGTTCCGAAATTAGACATAAGCACTTTTTAAAACCTCATACTGTTCCATGTGAACTAATAATTATAACAGATACCAATTCAATTATTCGAACATCAATTTAGAACCTATTCTTTGAAAAATATTTGGAATTTTACTCAAAATACATATTAGTTTTGGAACATATTATTATATTCGTAGTATTAATTTAAAATTTTAGGTGCATTCAGAACAAGGTAATTTACCTTTTTCGGTATCATTCAGATTTGTAGAAAGTTAGAAATGTAAAATCCTCTAGTATTGAAAAATAAAGTTTGTATTCGACTGTGCCGAAATTAAATACCCACCATCAAAATATTGTAATGTATTGATATTAATATCAGCATCAATGTGATTTTCAGAGGAGGTCCAATTAGGTTTTTTTGTGTCAATTTTGTTCCAAATTTGCAGCCCAAATAGAATGAGTCTTCTAACTCGTGTTTTCAGCTTACAGACACAGAATGTGTATACTTTTTGGGTCGGTCTACGACCAACATTGCAATGTGCTAACAAGTAAAAAGTTATAGTTGGGCGAAGCCTACCATACCCTACACCAGTTATAAAAATAAAATGTGATTTATTGTTCATAATAAAGCATCTAAGTTGAATTGTACCTTGCCTCAGATATAATTTAGCTATTTTTTGTTGAATAAAATTGTGTACATTTAAGTCATATTTCGAAGGGGGCTTTGCATAGGGGCTAGGGTCAAATGAGGCCGCATCATCAAAAAATACATCAGGGTCATGAAGGCTAGTATAGAACTTGGTTTTGCAGCTTTTTGTCGAGTTACGAGTATATTGAACATAATTATGAACTTAAAAACCCTATTTGGGGGGTTCAGTTGTATGGGGGCTAGGTCAAATATTGGACCGATGTTATCCATTTTCAATAGGATCCGTCTCTAGTACAATAGGAGATCATGCAAAATTTCATTGAATTATCTTCAAAATTGCTGTAGTTTGATTACAAGGTTTACACGGACGGACGGACAGACGGACGGACATAGCTAAATCGACTCAGAAAATGATTCTGAGCCGATTGGTATACTTTAAGGTATAGGACCAATATTATTGTGTGTAACAAACATCAACACAAACCCAATATACCCTCCCCACTAAAGTGGTGTAAGGTATAAAAACGAAGTGAATAAATAAATTTATATGTGCTATGTGTATGGACTCATACCACTTTAAAAAATAAAAGGTTCAAATATGTATAAAATTAGCTCTGCGGAATTTTGTTTTGCATGAGTCAAAAATAAAATAAGATCGTAATTTTCAAATTAATGAAAATTATGGCTCAAAAAAAGAAAATAAAAACAGTTTTTTGAAACAAATCCTAATCCCGAAAAAATCCCGGGATTTATTTTCCAAATCCCGGGATTCGGGATTTGCCAATCCCGAAAAATCCCGGGATTTTCGGGATCGGGATTTCGGGATTGGCATCCCTAGTTTATATGTAGCTCTCACTAAGGGAGATAGTTTAAGTTTGAAAATTGCATACAAAATTTTAAAACCTAAGTTTAATTTTTAGTGAGAGCTATAAAACCCAGTCTTCAATTATTTATCTGAACGGTTATCCAAATAAGTCGATTTTCGTATGAATCGAGCCACCTTTGACCCCAAATAAAGTATTCTTCAGAAAATAACTAAAACGTGCATAACTCACATATAAACACTGGTTTCGCAGCACAAAACCTTTATAAAAACTTAAATCTCTCCGTCGAATTTGAATTTGAGAATCGGTCCATATTTGATATAAGGACTTTATCAAAAAATTTTTCATCCATAGAAGTATTTCTAATAATCATATGATAGGCCAATCCCGGCTGTGACTTCTTTGTTATTCGTCACTTCAGGGTATAGAAAAGCTAACACGAATTCAATCGTCATAGTCTAAGTAATGTCAGGAGTAGTTCCTTTAACATTATTCTAGAAGTCGTAGAGAACGTCCCAGGTTTTCCACGATGACGTGAGATGTAATAAAAACATTATTTTTACTACAATACCATGTGATTTAAATATCTCCGAAAGATTATTTGGAAAGTTCTTCCAATTTACGAGAACATTTCCATACATGGCAACTCCTACTTTTATTCGTCTTGAGCTAGAACTAGCTCTATAGGAGTAACACAATTAACACATAACAAGTGAGAGGAGGAATAACTATAAAAAAAAATATTTGAGGGGCTCCGCGAAATTAAGAGGTCTGCAAAGCAAATAACGATGGGAACCCCTGCTTTAGAAAACGGATGTAAGTGGATTAGAAGTAATCTATTACAAAATCTGTTAATTCTTAGAATATCTAAAGGTTAAATAATAAGCCGAATATTCGATCCCTTTTGATCTAACAAAACAATTTATTCGAACATCAATTCATCAATGAACTTTAAAGTTTACGTTCAACCTATCGAGACTTGGGCTAAAAGTGGTTCTTAATAATCGCTCCGCTTTAAGGCCTACTTAGTCCATATCGGTGAAAGCGTTCTTGGCCGACTAAACCGATTAAACCATTTTCGACCGTCTGTCCTTCGTCTGTGCGTACAAACCAGGCATGGGGGGTAATGATTACACAAAGTAATTAATTACAAGGTCAATTACAATTACATGTAATGTGAAATTGAACAATAACCAATTACAATTTCTTGTAATGTGTAATTGACAAATAACTAATTACAATTATTTGTAATTGTAATTGAAGTTTTGCCATTTACAATTACTTGTATTTGTAATTGAAATTTTCAATTTCAATTACTTATAATTGTAATTTAGGTATTACTAATTACAAATTACATGTAATTATAGGAAACAAAATCCACAATTACAAGTAATTGTAATTGGAATTTCTTCAATTACAAGTAATTGTAATTGGCAAAACTTCAATTAGAATTAAAAATAATTGTAATTGGCAAAACTTCAATTAAAATTACATGTAATTGTAATTGGTAATGCTTCAATTACATTGATTACAAGGTATAAACCTTGTAATCAATGTACTGGTCACAATTATGGTGATAATTTCATTAATTTTTACGCGTTCATAACTGATTTTGGGCAACGTTATCGATACGAGTTGTAATCAGTTCATTATTTTACCGAATAGGTCTCATAATTATGTTAATTATAATAGGGAATTGAAAAAAATCTGCACAACTAAATTTTATAAGAAAAAATCTAAGACCATTTTGGACTGTAAGAGAACATTGACCGAATACTCTTCTAGATATTAGCTTTACTTCATGTGGGTACCACTCGGGAATAATCAGTAACGAAAGAGCGCATGAACTTGCTTTAAAGGGGAAAACCCAGAGGTAGTTAACCTGACGAACGCTAAACCGTTCGACGCAAAGTGGCTAAATAAAAAGTATGGGTATAATGAAACGGTAGACCAGTAAGATCCTATGGGGCAATTCTTACGAGAGCACTGGAGAATTTTCATTGTCAGGTTTTCGTCAAACTTATATTTAAATATCTTGGGAGCGATATTAATCCGGATATAACTAATACTGATTAGAAAATTCTTCGAAATTATGTGCAGTTATAAACATTAAACGATAATGCATTCATAGATCACTATACATATAAGTTTTTCCAACAAACTTTGTCCATGGAAAGGTTAGATTGATTTTTGTCGATTTTTGTTAACTTATTAATACTAGTGTAGCGCTGATTATAGACAAAAATATTTGTTTGTAAACATAAATTCCTCCACCAACTTTTATGAGGATCGGCACATATTTGACTCTAGCCCCCTTACAATGCCCCTTTTATATACCCAGTTTTAATTCAATAAATTAAGGTACAATTCCTCACAAATACTTTGTTATAAATAATAAATATACTCATGTAGGGTATCATATGGTCTGCCAAGTTTATAAAATATCCATTATTTTGATAGCAAATACCGAAAGCTATGTATAGACGGTTGTCAGACCTTACAATGTTGTCAGTTCTGGCAATGTACTGACAATGAGAAATTGGTAGCAACAGGTAAAACAGTTTTAGACGATTGTAAGAAAACCTTTGTCATATTATTATCTGGCAATGGTAACGTAGTGTGTTTACACGATTGTTAGATGTTTGTCAATGTTATTGTTTTACAAAATACCTTTTCTGACAACATTGCAATACAGACATTGTAAGTTCACACAGTTGCTAGATATTTCTGAACATTTTTCTAACAACATTGTAAGATCTGACAACCTGAAGTAACATTTTCTGTTGCAATAATGCAATTTTGAATTTGCTAATTTGATTGTTAAGTTTAAAACTTAAAATAAATGTTTGATTAATAAGTCCTAAATACCTATAATACTGCGAATTTTCTTAACTCCTGTAAGGGTTAAGCACAGTGATATCCATCTTGTATCACACATCAGCCTTTTCCTTGCTTTTGTTTGATTAAAAATTGTCTTTTCAAAAATGTAAATGAAACTGCTTTTGAAAACTTAAATATGCATTATAATGTTTT